ATGCTTTAATTCCTTGTAAAATCAGAACAAGATAGAATTTCAGAAAATGCGAATGCATGTTTCCCTGCCTGCCTTTTTCTGTAAGGCACAGTGAGTCAGACATTATCATGCTTTTCCAGATTGTTTGGCAATGAAGTACCTAGTTCATGAACAGAATTACTGTCACCAGCTGGGGAACAAATAACAGCCCTTGCTTTCCCCTGTCACTCTGATGGTTTGTGTCAGTCTGAAGATAGAAAGTACCATGATGTCCCTCTGGAGCAGGCGGGTGAGGGACCAGGCAAGGACAGCCAGGTCACTAAATACCAGAGGTTTATGACAATGTTTTAAATGTACTCCTTGACTTCTTACCTGATGACCTCACTTGATTTTAGAGGAATCTTTCAAAATAAATCATGACCAGTTTTGAATTATTTTTGCACTCCTTTTAAAGAATTAGCAATAATAGCATGATGTGGAAGAAATAGCAGGTGATTTTGGGCTTACTGAAGTCAGCAGGGGTTTCCCCATCAACACCTGCAGGACTTTCTGTCTGTAATTTACACAGGTCAGAAGCCTTCAGTGGCAACTGACGTAGTTGAGTTCAATCACACTGTCAGTCTCTCTGAATGGCTAATTAAAATGCAGTTTGATTTTATGGATGGGAGTTCATAGTATTAATTTTCTATAACATGGAAAGGAGAATGTAATTTTGATTTCACGTTTTCTCCTTTTCCTTTTGTATCTTTATGGAAGATTTGGCGACAGGCTGTTTATAAGGAAAAGCTTTGTCCCCTTGCAGTGAGGACTCAGGGCCCACTGGAGCATAGCTCTGGGCACTGGGCTAATGAATTACATACTGTTGTCTCAAATTCATCTTGTTCCTTTTACAAAGAAACATTAACGTATAGTGCCTCCAGTTAGTACGATCTGTTCAAGCTTCTGCCTTGTGGGCCCTGTAGGAATTTGCCTTTTGAAACACCAGCTAAAGTTGGGATGGGAGAAGTTGTTTTGCTCTCCCAGTTGGCCCCAAATTCACTCCACCTTTTCAGCTGCATTCCTAGAGCTCCCTTCATGCACAATGAGCTGTTAACCTTCATGTTCTCATTAAAGACTGGATTCTTCTGGGTTGTGGTTTGAATAATGACTCCCCATCCCTGTGAGGGAACTGGAGGTGTTTGTTCTCCTGGTTAGTGGGAGAACATCTCCCACTTCAGTGCTGCCTCAATTGCTGAGAGCGAGGGGGTTCTGCAGTCCCATAGCTCAGAGGTTTCTGGCATCATCTTTTCTCTAGGGGTGGATTTGTGGCAGTTGCTAACTCCATGAGCAGTACCATCACCCACAGCTGGTAAAGGGCTAGGAGATGCTGTGGCAGTGACAGCAGCACTGAAATTCCTCCCTGCCCCTTGCTAAGAGATCCCACGCTGCAAGTGCGGAAGGCGGCACTGACCCATCTGGTTCTTGCTGTCCTCTTCAGGCTTCTGCCCAGAGACTCAGCTGGGAGAAACTCCAGCAGCAGCAACAGCACAGGTGGATGGAACAGACTTAGCCTCTCCAATGTCTCCTCGGACTAGCAAGAGCCGCATGTCCATGAAATTGCGCCGCTCCTCTGGCTCAGCCAACAAATCCTAAGTGGCAAGATGCCTGAAGCTTTCTAGTGAACAGCAATTGGCCACCCTTCCCGCAGCAACTCAGCGCCGGGGTTTTTTTCACTGCTCATACCTTTCACTCAAGAGTAATGTCTCTCATGTGTGTGCGCCTGTGCCCTGCATACTCCTTTTCTGTATGTTTATTTTAAACAGTGACACTGGAATTTTACTTTGATATTTTAGCATTGGTTTTTTATCAAACTTCAGTCTGCCTGCCTTTTTTTTTTTTCTTTTTTTAATTGCAGTGCAGTTTGTCTTCTGCACCTTTTACCTTCGTGGATGATATGGTATCTTAACAGTAGTCATTTTTAACTCTGGTTGATCTTGAGTTACATACGGAATTGGAGACTGCAGCTGGATTAACTGTATTTATTTTGCCCCATTGCAATTGTCTCTGTAACAAAGAAAGAAATATGTACAATTTGAAAATGAATGTACAATTTTAAATTGACGTTGCATATGTGAAGTCTTTGTCAGATGTCACAATGTTAATGCACAGGATGTGTACAGATTATTTATGTTCAGAATAAAATAGTTCAATGGCCTTTCAAGCATTACAGAGTCCAAATGAAATAATTTGCTCATAGCACCAATTCTTTCTTCACAAAGCAATGTATCATTTCATAACTCTGCAGATAATCTATGCCAGAAAAAAAATCACTGTGCTGAAATTCTATTTATGCTTGGCTTCCAAATATTTTTATAATGTTTGCTTTTCCAAGTGGTATCAATAGTAAATGCTATCAAGTTTCATGGGTTTTAGCCTTTGTCATTGGGATGCTCCATCTAGATGTATATTCTTTTTTCTTACATTAAAAAAAATTTAAAAGCAAACACTTTCCTAATAGAAATTCATTGCTGCGATGATGGGTACTAGGGAAGAAAAGGGAACATGCTCCGGGAGCCTGGCCTGAAATGCTGTTGATTTCAACCCTGTGAGCGCAGGTTAGTGCACGAGTTCCACCCACCCAGAGGTATTTTCCTACGAAAGGTGAAATGCTCACATTTTGAGTCTAGTAAACAACAAAATGCTGTTAACAAAATGTAGCATGGCATCGGTACTAACTGCATGTGTAAATATATCATATGGGCAACAATAAAAAGAGAAATTATGTATTGTCATTCATGTAGTATCAACAAATTTGTAATGGTTGAAAAGAAGACATGCTATTTAATAATACAATAAAATTATTCTTACCACCTTTTGCATATTAGTCATTCACCTCACTGACTAGATTCTTACTCCAGTTTATGGAAGAATTGTGTACTACGTACACATGGAGCAATTAAGTGCAATACACTGCTTAGTTTTCATCTGTATTAAGAAGTATATGAGTTCTTAGGAGCTCTTTCCCAATGCATCAAAAGAATGCCAGACTGAAAACTTTTCCCCAGATCTAGTAAATACATTGCATGTAATATAAAGCACAGAACATTCTCTCCTGCAGGCTGGTTGTTCAAGTGCTGATTTTAGGAGCAGTTAATAATCATCACATTTGTGTGGTCTAGCGCCCTTCATCTTTGACTGCACAAGTGGAGAACGGACAACGATGATTTTAAAAAAACACAGTGACCTTCTCCAGGAGCGAACCCATTAAATGCATAAATGGGCATTTTTGCCATTGTTACCAACAAATGACAGAAAAATGCACAACTTAACACATGTTTTATTTTTGTCAGAAGAGTGAGATGTGAGTTTAGCCTCCTCTGTCAGAGAGCAAATCTTGGCTATATCAGGTTATATGGTTTTAATTCATTTGTCCAGGTCCTGGAACTAAAATGACAAAAGTCCGTGAAGCGCATTTAAAACAAAGCATTTATCACTTGCTTGCAGCCTTTGGGCATGATACATCTAAATCTTTTTTTGTGTGAAGCAAAATGTAAAATGACAGAAATAATGGCTTTAGAGGATGCTAATCAAGAGATTGAAATATTTTACATGCTTTATTTCAGAGAGAGTGTTAGAACAAAGATTACAACTGGGATCAGTTTGGTTCTTCAGAAATCACCAGCTGACCCACTTTGCCCTGCTGAATTGAAAAAAGGTGTGAGCTACGTTTAAAATCTTTTCTTGAATTGTTTTGCCCTTGTTTTTAGCCTCATCTGCTATAACATTTAGAAACAAGCACTCAAATTGAAAAATAAAATAAGTAAGTAAATAAATAAATAAATAAATAAATAAATAAATATGGCTAAAATGTCAGTAGCTGGTAAATTCAACAGCATTTCAAAGCATTTGGCCAGAGCACTGTCAAAGCCAGGGAACACACCACGGGATGCTTTGCTAAAAGTAGATGTTGTTAGGGAGAAGGAAGGTAGCCTGTCATCTGCACTTTAGCAAAACGTCTAAAGACTGTTTCATGTCCTAATTTCAGCTGTTCACAAGACTTGGAGGAAGTCATATCAAAAGCGCAGCTCACAGTGGAGAGGGGTCGGAGGCCTCCTGAAAAGGCCAGCTGCAGAGAGGGTCCTTTCTGCCTGCCTACGATGCAGGGCCTGGCAGGGCCACACACTGCCCAGCCAGGTGACACTGAACTGCGCTCCTGGCTACTGTCTATGCTGCACTAACAAACCACTAACAGAGCAGGTTTTGGAATGGGCAACTGCCAGAGACGTGTTTTGCCTACTACACAGTCGCTAGAGTACAGAGACACAGAGTAAGCAGGAGATGCATACATAGATCAACACCTTGTATTTCAATTAAGCAGACAGCACAATTAGTTTCCCATACTAGCTATTATATGACTTGACATTGACTTAATATGAACATTTACTTTCTCGGCTATCTTAGTACAGAGTACAGCAAACAAAACACCTCACCATAACTTAAGTGTTGAAGCTCAGGGGCTAAGGCTATTAAAACAAGGTCACTAGATCAGGCTCCTTTTCTCACGAAAAATAATTCCTCTCTTTAAATACCGTATATACAGCTGTACTTCTATCCGAGAGTCGCTACGGAAGATATACCAGCGGTGGGCCCGTACCCGGCGCCCGGGCATTGCCCGCCTCCCGGCAGATGCTGGCAGGACTCCTCACCCGGGACCGTGCCCACAGCCGCCCCGAGTCCTTCAGCCGCCCCGGCAGCTGGGGGTCTGCGCGGCCTTCCCTCCCGTGCGGGGCTCGGTGTGAGTGCTGCTGGCCGGCCCCGTGGAGCGGCGGCGGTGCCGCCCGTAGGCTGAGCCCGCTGCCGTGCCCGTGCGGGGCGCGCATCGCTACCCACCGGCCGGAGAGGCGGCGGGCGAGAGTCCGCGGGCGGCTTTCTCCGCCGTCATAACCGTGAGAGCCGCGACTTTCCATAGGAATTACAGCGTGGCCAGGACCCGCTCGGCTAGCCTGGGCTCTCGGAGCAGTCCCACCGAGGCGGCCGCGGGCCTAGCAGCCCGGCCGGACGGGCACCTGGAGCAGCAGGACCTGCCTGCTCTCCGGCGGGTGGCACTTGCTGGCGTGCCGCGCCAGCCCGGGTGCGCTGAAGAAGGTGGCGGGGCAGTGCTTGCAGGGGAAGCCTTGCCGCTCGCCGCCCGCCGCGCCGCCCTCGGGAACGCCGGCGGGCGGCGGCGGCGGCAGCAGCAGCTCCTCCCGCACGGCGTGCCACAGCCGATGCTTGTCCCTGATATCCGCCGAGGGGAACCGGGCGCCGCAGAGGTGGCAGGCGAAGGCGAGGGGCCCGCGCTCCGGCGGGCCGAAGGCGGCCGGCCGCGCTGCCCCGTGGGTGCCCAGGTGCTTGCGGAGGTAAGCCTGCCGCCGGAAGCGCTTCTGGCAGCAGGGACAAGCGAACGCCTCCCCGCCGGGGCCGGGAGCGCCGCCGTGAGCGGGGCCGAGGCCGGGGCCGGGGGCGGCCGGGGCGCCACCGGCGCTGTCCGCGCCGCCGCGGTGCTGACGGGTCGGCGGCGGGGGCTGTGGAGGGGGCGCGGCGGGGCCGCGGAGTCGCCGCTCAGGGCTGTTCTCCTTGCCCGGCGGGGCGGCGGCGGCGCCGTCGGCGCTGGGGCCGGGACGCGGCTTGTGCCAGCGGCGGTGAGATGCCAGGTTGGCGGGGCAACTGAAGATCTTGTGGCACTCGGGGCAGCGGTACTCGACTCGCACGATGCGGGAGCAGCGGTGCTGGGCCAGCGCCAGCGGGTCCGCGTACTGCTCCTTGCACAGCTGGCAGATGAACTCGCCCAGCGGCGTGCGCCCCGCCGGCGGTCCCGGCCGGCCCTCGGGCCCCTCCTCCTTGATGCGCAGCCCCAGCACGGGCGAGGTGGTCACCTCGTCGGCGAAGCTCAGCTTCCGCGTGGCCTTGCCCTTCTTGGCAGGCGTCTTGGCCCGCGACGGCCGCTTCAGCGCGGGCACCGGCGGCGGCGGCGGGGCGGGCAGGGGTGTGCGCGGCTGCAGCAGCAGCTTCTCGGCGGGCGGAAAGGAGGCGGCCAGGGGGAAGGACTCGGCGGAGGCGGGGGAGCTGAGGCACCGCTCGAAAAGAGCCGCCCGCGGCCCCGCCACGCTGCACGGCCCCGTCGCCCCCCAAGCGGCCGGACCCTCCGGCGGGGTGACCCCGGGGCCGCTGCAGCCGCCGCCGGGGGGCCACGTCGCGGGGCAAGCGGCGGCGGCGCCCTCCTCCTCCTCGCCGTCCTCCTCCTCCTCCTCCGCCCCCTGTCTAGCGGTGGGGCTGTCCCCGGCGGAGGGCGGCGGGGGCGGCGGCGGCGGAGGGGCGGGCGGCGGGTCCCGGTCTGGGTCCTGCTCCCGCGGGCGAGCCCGGTAGGAGCCACCGGGGCGCCGGCTGCGCTTGACGAGGAAGCCGCGCGGCATCGCGGGGCGGTCCGGGGCGGCGGGAGCGCAGCGCCACCGGCCCGCCCGGGCTTTATACCCCCGGCGCCCGCTCCCGCCCGGGCGTCATCCGCCCTCCGGCGGCCGCGGCCAATGAGGAGTTGGGGCCGGCGCTGCCGGGGCGGGCGCGCTCGGGCTGCGGGGACGGGCGGGGTGTCCCGGGGAGGGCACCCCGCGGCGCCCTGCGCGACTGAGTGGGATGTGGGGCCGGGAACGGGTCAGAGACGGGAGAGACTCTGGGCTGGGTCACGGCAGCGGCCTCTCGCCCGAGCGGCCAGGCAGGGCTCAGCAGGAGAGCCTGTCGTGGGTGTTTGTGCCGGAGCCTTCATCCGCCGCCGGGGCCGCACTGACCGCCCCGCACGCCTTTCCGCTGACGGGAGCCAGAGCCGGGAACCGGCTCCGTCCGCCTGCACCGTCACATCGGGAGTTTTCCCTCAAGTAGCCAGAAAGCTCTGGTACTGCGGTGAGCTCCCAATGCAAGAGCAGGGCTGACACCTTCGCGTAAAATGCTAAATCACAGCTCTGCGTAGTGGCCGTGACTGTGGTCCCCTGGCAGCCTCACCCGCGGGCAGCCTCCCGAGCCCAGGGGAGGCAAGACTGAGGTGTGATGCAAAAGCTCCCGAACCTCCCCCACCACGCCGCCCCGATGCAACTCCCGGCCCGTTCGTGGGTGCTGAGAACCTGGTGGCAGCTGGTGTGCCCCTGGGGCGAGGCAGGAGTTGTGTTTGCTAAACCACTAATCGCCTTTTTAGCAACGCTTCTGTTCCACCGCGCAATGAAGCGTACTGGCAGCGGCCCCACCGCGCGGTACCAGCATCTCCTATTTGACCGCTCATGAACCCGAGCCCGGGTTTGGAGGCACGAGGGTGCTGTCCCGTCCGTAGACCTTCTGCCCGCAGTATACACGAGATGGCGTGCCATTGGAAATGAAAGCGCGAAAGCTCGCTCCATCCCTGCTCAGGGACAGACATCCCTTGCCAGGGTAGGACGGTCGGACTCACCGTGCTGGGAGCATCCCCTAGCCGGAAGAAATAAAGAGCACCAGGAGAAAGGGAGAAACAACACTTCTGAATACAGGGGCTTTCCAGAAGTGGCAAGGAAGATTTGAAGCCCTCATGCAAGACCAGAACTCACCCCACCTGCTCAAAACATTCATCCGCTTGTGTAAGTGCTCTGAGATTATATTTGTTTAGCAAAGTCTTAATCATGTTTTACATTACTGTCCCATTTTCCTCCATTTTCATGATTGCAATGAATCTTAGATTAGATTATGAACTCCACAGGCTAGAGATCACCCTTTGTTAGTACAAACCTCTGTAATTGGGACCAATGTGCCACACTTTTGTGCAGTTGGGTCACTCCACTGACTGTATGATTTTTATCTAAAAATTTTTACCTTTGTAACTGGACTTCCCAGCTACATTTTTCACTGAATAACTGAGTCTCTGGTTACAGATCCATATTTTATATGTTCCTCCTCCACTTGCAAACAATGTTCCTGTTAAAGTTCCATTTGCTTTTGTCATGTTGCAAAAACAGTCGGGGGTAAGAATGTCCAGTTCTGAAATATTCAGTTCAGCTTCCAATCAATCCCAAGGGGTGAGGAACCCAACAATGCCTTTTCCTGCACAGGAGTAGCAGGAGATAGAGCACCAGCTGGAAAGCAGGCATATTAAGTGTTTGCTGGAACTCTAAACATTTTTCAAGTAAAATCCGTAGACTGGAGTTGCATTGGAGAGTTTATTTAGGCCCCATGTCATGGTCTGACATGGCCCAGACATCACAGGAGGGCTTGGGGGAAGCTTAGAGTCTCCCTTCCTGAAGTCGCCCATGTGGAATCACTGCTCCACCTCTCCATCCACTGCCCTTTTGGCTGTGTTTCTCAGCTCTTCCCTGTGATTAGGTGCCTGTCTGTGCCTCCTTCTTGTTCCACAGTACCCTCCAGCACAACCTTCTTTTAGCCTTCTCAGTTTGCCTCCAGTTTATGATCAGTTTGTAAGGTAGAACTGATCATCTGTAGAAACTGTAGAACTCATCATCCTATCCTTGGTCTTGTTGCAGCATGTGCCAGTGCCCTCAGATCTCTGACAAAATTGCACTGGGATCCAAATTGTTACAGCCACCTTGTGACTTGTTTCTCTCAAAAAATATACTGGTTTCCTTAGGCTGTCCCTGCCCCAGTACAGACTCACAGTCCTCTGGCTCCCACTAGAAGGTTACAGATTATTTCTCCTCCCTCCCCACATTTACAAGAGAGTGTAACCCCGGCAACTGGCATTAACACCCAGCTCTTGCAGCTTCTAAGCTTTCCAAACTGTTACATGGGTTTATCTTCTTGCCTTCGTCCTTTACTCCTTCCAAAAATTTTATAATTAGAAAATTCTGATGATTTATAAAGATAGTTCATAATTTTGTGCACACACACACACACAGAACCTGTAGAAATTTGCTAGATTTTTTCCATTGGATTATTCCATTCCATTAGTCCCATCATATAGCTGAGAGTGCAGCACCTCACCCTCCTGAACATTATACAACAGGGAAACTTTCTTTAAGGTTGAAGCTTTCCTAAGCAAGAAACTGAACAATGTTATTGTTCCTGACCTTACACTGTGTAAGGTTGGCCTTGATTAAACATATTGGCCACTTCCACATGAGAGTCATCCTTAGATTAACCAAAGGGTTCCTCTTCTATTCTTTGCTTCCTCAGTCCATCCCCTCATTTCTGGTCAGGGAATGGAAACAAGAGTAGTACAGCAGTGCTCTGCCTCCCTGTTGATGCTGCCTTTTAGGGACATGATTTAATGGTGGACTTGGCAATGCTAGGTTTATGGTTGAATTTGATCATCCTAAAGTTCTTTTTCAACTTAAATGATTCTATGATTTTGTGATTCTGGAAGATACTCCAACTGACTGCCCAGACAGCTCCAGAGTATGGTACCAGCATCTCATCACCCAGGTCCTTCTACATTCCAGCCATCCAGAGACTGTCATCTCTGGCTGTGAGGTAGGGATACCATTCCTTTCAGCCCCAACCATGTCTCCATTAGCTCCAGGACACCTGGAAGCCTGTGCAGACACTGAAAAGGAGGTGTAACATGGTTCGTTAATTGTCAAGCAAGTAGGCAGCTGCATTTATGTTTCTGAACAGTCTTGGGGCATAAACAGCAAAAGGAATGTATGACAGAAATTCCAGCTGGGAGGGAGAAGGTCTTGGGTGAGGTCTGGTTCTCAAAGAAAAACCTTCTGGGGACTGAGGGGGCAGAAAGAAAAAGAGAAATGCCTTTTGCCATTTAGTAAAAGACAAAATAACCACAACTTTAAAAAATAAGAGTTAAAAATAAAATAGAAAATAACTATAAGCAAAGGATTAAAGAACATTCCTCTCCTTCATGTTTCCCCTCCCCACCACAAAAAAAAATAAAATTGTTGTAGCTGAGTTTTTTATATTGCAGAATTTCAAATAAAGTTGACTTTTAAACCTTCCCCTGACATCTGGTTTGTAATTAATGGAGCAGTAAATAGGAGAGAGACAGAAGCCACCTCAGAAGCCTGTCCGTGATACATGGCTCTCCAGCAATGTAGCTAGATGAGCGATACCACCCCCAGGCTCCAAGATTTACACAAACAAAATCCAGGCTGGTTTTGGTGGCAACACAAGCCATTTCATCTTCCCCCAAAATGAGGCTGCCAATTATCTTGCTGTGATTGGGGATTTGATGCTGGTGACAGACATTGAAGGAAATATCTGCATTATGAGGATATGGATTGTCTAATATAACTGACTTTGCCAGTACCTTAATTGCGTTTTGCTTTACCTGAGGACAATTTGCTTCAAAGGGAAAATGATGTTAACAGCTGCTGTGTTTTCTTCATTGCTCAAATATTATCAAAAAGCTTTCCATAAGGGAAGGTAGAAAACACTGTTCTGTGAAGGTAGTTGGGCTAGAGGGATTTGAAGGGATTTGAAGACACTATGAAAACATTCAACCTTCTTTGTTCACAAACGAAGTGATGCTGTGAGTTCACCATGCTGCTGTCACTGAGGTGATAATGGGAGGACAGTGATGCTGTGGCTCCAGTCCTTACTTCGTGAGTGAGCAGCTGCATAAGGGCCAAATGAGTACTCTTGTGTTTTGGTTCTTCCCCACCTGCATCTACATTAGCCCATCACAGGGACACTAGATCCTCTTCAGGGAGCAGCTTGACATTCCCAAATCTATACAAGTTACTGAAGAGTCTCAATGAGACCATTATGACTTTCGTTACTTCATTACAGATTTCAGCTGGATTTCAGCTTGTACCCCAAGGCTGAAACCATTTGCCATGACAAATTTGCCTGCAATAGAGATATTTATTGATCTCACTATGTCATGATGGGAAGATTTGGCTTCCTTCAGCATGAGATACTCAGCAGTCTGTTCCCTACAAGCATCACTATATGTTGCAACTCACTGAAAAAAGATCTCCTTGTACAGAAGGTTGTGGTTATTAATTATGTGGATAGCAATAGTGGCTTTCAGGGAGGCCAAGGCCCAGCTGCAATTGGTGCAGATGTATGTGCTGGCAGGTGGACAGCTCTGTATGTGAAGAGAGTGACAACTGAAGAGACCAGGAGGCAAGACAGCAGAAAGGTGAGAGAAATGAAGCTCTTGAGTGGTGCCTATGATACATGCTGGGCTGGGAAGCCCCATGCCTGCCTCCAGTAGAGTTCAGGCAGGACAGAGAAACACGTGGTTTGCCTGATTTCCCAAAAGGGCTCAATCTAGGAGGCTTTTGGAGAGCAGAGACCACGCCCAGGTGAATCACAGCCACAAATACTCTAATTTGTTATGGTCACACTTCGTCCTGCTCTTGTGCTGGCACCTGAGCATGCTCAGTTCTGCAGGGATGTGGTGCAGGGAGCTGAGCTCTCAGGAAAATATCTACCTTTTCTTCCTTTCTCTCCTCCAATAGTTTTTTCATGCTCCTGTGCCAAGGTC